ATCATATATATATATATATATATATATATATATATATAATATTTTACTATCAGTATCAACAGCATTCACGCTCACAAAATGACATCAAATAACAAAGATTGGACTTTCGTATAAAATTTTAACATTTGGATTATTCTATAATAACTTCCGAAGAAGAGTAAAACATTAAATAATGAGCGATTGTATAAACTTTTTTTCTGCTTTTTGAGACATAGCCATGTTGTTTCGATTAACACAGAACTTTTCGCTATATCATTTTATATAAATTATAAACTTAAGCCTAACTTCAACGATGTAACTTTTACCGAAGTTATTCCATATCATATATTACAAACCTTTTTACAAATGAATATTTTAGAAAAACGTTACGAGCTACAACATAATAAGAATAAAAAACGTATTAACACTTTTAAGTTTACCTAAACTTACCATAAAAAATAAAACCCATCAGACAAACACCAAAATCTATCAACGTTAACTTTAGGCCTAAAATCTCTTGTTCGTGCGTCTTAAAACGCTCGCAAACCTCGTGCTATTCTTGTATTCATACACCTTTAGACAAGGGAAAAAATTTAGACCCTCGCTTATTTCACTTTTACACGAAGACACATGAAGTTAAGCTTTAAAAGAAACAAAATTACAGGAGGTGGGTTCTGATATCAAATTATAAAATCGTCTGAGCATAATTATAATGCGGTTAGTTGACTTGTACTTATTAATTAAATCGCACGGCTAATACTTCTTTGTAAGTAAATAGGTCATGGTCCTAACAAATCATGGAGATAGCAAACTAGAATATAAAAGGGGGGGGGGAGAAAAGGAAATCTTTAGTAATTTGAATAAAAACTCTACCAAAAGAAATCTCGACAATATAAATCGTAAGATGTATATATTATACACTGCTTATTTAAATATATCATGTTTGTTTATTAGTATACCAATTACGTTTAACTTTAAAATTATAAACTTAAACATATTTCATAAATCAAAAGAATTAATTTAATGAAAACTATGTTCCTGTGGATAACTGTAGTTAGTCAGCAAAAGATATTCATTTGGTGTAAAACAACTGTTTTTAAGAACTTAGGTAAGGTTGTTGCGATTGGATATAAACTGTTGTCATTTAGATTCGCAAGCTATACTGTCACCAAAGTCTATTTATTAATAAGTAACTGCTTTTTTTTTATATAGTTCGATACTAATTACTAACTGTGCACTAGAAATCTGGTATATATATTAAGTCTCTGGTCGTTTGTTAATTACCCGTAAAAACTCTTCCCGAAGAACTTCAGCGATACAAGTCCTTTCTTAAATAAAACTAGTTTATTCTTTCTCAATACAACTTTGCAATACTCTTAATTTCCACAGTCACTTTAACTTAAACACCCGCTATAATTTGTGCTGCGTCAATCCCATGATAGTTTAACAGGAGGACATCTCGGAGTTAAGAAGACATTGAGTCACCTACGACAGAGATTTTACTGGATAGGTATGAAGCAAGATGTGGAAGAATGGTGCAGGACATGCATTACATGTTGTGCTAAAAGGGGACCCAAGCATAAGGGACGTGCTCCAATGGAGTTATATCAAGTTGGCGCACCAATGGAAAGAGTGGCCGTTGACATTGCTGGTCCCTTGCCCCAAACTCGTGCTGGAAACAGGTACATTTGTGTGGTGGTGGATTATTTCACCAAGTGGCCTGAGGCATATACAATACCAAATAAGAAAGCTACAAC